CACCGGCCCCGGGTCCGCGCTCGGCTGCGGGCCGTCCTCCCGGGTCTGGGCTCCCGTCTCCTCTGCGCGCCTTGTGCCCCCCAGCCCGCAGACCGGCAGGCTTCTGGAGACCGTGGGTTGACGCCAGAGGCTACAAGGAGGAGGGGGCGCCGCAGCCCCCGGCGGAGGCGGTGAGTGAGCCGCGCGCCTCGGGCCGCGCCTCCCCGGAGGGAAGATGAGCGACCCGGACTGGGTATGCCCTGCCCGAGGGAGATACGCGCCCGGCCTGCCCCTCGTTTAAGCTCGCGCCCGCCCGTGGCCCTACCGGAGGCCCCGTGGGTCCTGATGCTGCGAGGGTGTCCTCCAGAGCCACGAACGCGCGGATCCCGCCAGGAGCGAGGCTGCGGAGAGCCCCGGGGGTCACATTCCCCGCGGGCGCGAGGAACACTAGACAGCTTTCCCCCTTTCTAGAAGGTGAGTGAAAACTGCGATTCATCTTCTTTCGTCCCCAGATGCCGGACGGCCCCGGGGTGACCGAAGCCTCAGGAAAGCTTTCCCAGTACAGACACCCAGTCAGGTGAGTGACAGGCCTCACGGAAGGTCTCCCGCTCCTCCAGCCCAGGGTAGAGTCGGGAATCACAGCGCGTAGCTCCATGGCTGGTCTTGCAGTTCTTCTCTCTGGGAAAATCTGTCTTCACGGATCCCAGAGGTCCTTTACTCATCGAATTGATAAATGTAGTTCAAGCTCTCACCTAAAGGAACTGTTAATCAGTGCCCACTCAGTAAACTCTTCGAGTATATTATAAAGAGGGAAAGTGGATGGCATCGTGAAAGTCGACCGGTGACATCTCGTGTCTGTCTGCAAACCAGTTTTGTGTTGTTTAATGCTAAAGGGTTCGAATGAAATTGACTTCACAGCAGGCAGAGTGTGTACGTTCTTATTCTCTTGCAAACCAGAAGGAAGACTGGTGTTCATTGTTGCGGTTTTACAGCAAATCGAGCTTGACGTGGAAGAAAAAATGGAGTGTAATGAAAATCCTAAAGATCACGAAGCTTCCTAAGAAGGGTCGAGGTTACTTGACATAACAATGAAGAGCCGGTTTATGGTTCCTAGCCACGGGTTGTCGGCCTTTCTGTAGAAATCTTTGTAGCTTTTATTCAGGTGAAAGGTTCATTCTGCAGTTTGCTTCAGAGAGCTGTGAAAGGCAGAGCGTATGATATTTGTATGTATATGTTTATAAATAGCTTGTAGAGGTCAATACATGCTGATTAATTTTCTACCTAGTGATGGATACAGGAAAAAAAATAATCACACCCCATTGGCAAGTGTTGTAATAGTTTAGTTTGGTCAGGATGTAAAGGACATGAAGTACCTAACTCTCCCTGAGGGAGCAGGGAAAGATCTGGGAAGTGTGTATGATAGGATGTGGTTACCTAGCTGAGGCTTGAAGTTAGCCAGATGGATGGTAGGTGGAGAAAAATGGGACAGAAGTAATAGCATAGATGGGATACAGAGTCATAGAACAACATGGCTCCCTATGGGAGCCTCAAGGAGCTGGAATTTGGGTGCATGAAGCTGTGGTCATTCTAGTAGGTAAGCTATAAGCCGGATCTTGTCCACCTTGGTATAGAGTTTTGTTCTATTCCTGTATGTGGCATTGGAAACCCATGGCCTTTATTCTGTGGATGGTATTGGGGGTTATTCAAAGGTAGTGTGATCAGATTTATGTTTCAGAAAAAACACTAAGAAAATGGTATATAGGCTTAGTTAGAAAACTAAATCAAATTGGAAGTTACTGTAATTCAGGCAATCTATGATAAAGAGCCATTCTAAGGTATTGGAAGTGGGGATGGGACTGGGTGAATTTGGGGAATGCTTAGATGACATAATAGATTAGGCTTATAATGTATTGTATATGGTAGGTGAAGAAGAGGTAAAAAGAATGGCTTCCAAGTTTGTGGCAGATGACCAGATGAATGCTGTATTAACAGAGTGGAAATTAGGGCTTAAAACAGATTTGGGGAACAAGATAACGAGTCCAATTTTTCATTTATTGTATTTAATATGCCTAGGGGGTATCCAAATATGTATGTCTAGTAAGGAGCTGCGTGTGCGCGTGCATGCGCGCGCGCACACACACACGGGTAAGGGGCCCAGAGTCAAGATCTTAAGTGGAAATACAGACAATTGGGAGTCTTCAGTAAATGAACAGTTGAAGAAATCATGTCAGTGGATCAGGTCTTCCAGAAGAATGAGAGAGGAGAGATGATCACTCTTGATAAAACACTGGGGAAGGCCAATACCAACCTGTATACAGAGAAAAAGAGGTCCACAAAGGAGACTGAGAAGAATCACTCAGGACAGGGGAGAATTCAGGAAAGTATGAAGTCCCTGAAAGAAAAGTGGTCAGTCAGAGATTCTGGGCAGAGTGTGGTAACAATTAAACAATATTCTTTGGGTCTGACAATTCTAGTTAAGCATTAGAAAATCATTTGTTTCCTGTATAAGAAATCCCTTTTCTGAACTGCTGTAGCCATTTATTTGTACTTCTTTTAAGTTTATTTTATTTTTATTAATTTCTGTCTTGAATACTGTTATTTCTTGAGGATAGAGACTAAGATTTTTTCATCTTTGAATTATGAATTACGTCTGGCACAAGAGATCACTAAAATATTTATTGAATGACTGAATTATTGATGGTTGCTTATTAAAGGCACCAAAATTAAAACTTTTTTTTATCATTTGGCTAGAAACATTTATAAACTACATTGCCTACTTTTCTGCCTTTTAAAATGGAGTAGACTGAGCATAATGTAACCTTCTCTTTGTTAGAAGCACTCTGTTATAAATGGGTACGTGGGGCTAACTACCCTACACTAAAATGACTGCACTGTTGTTGGTGAGTCAGCTATATCCTTCTTCTTTTCTTTTCTTTGGAGGAAAATAATAGAAGACCAGATGGCAAGATTAATATTTGTCAAAAATTTGAGATTCTGAGGTAATTGGGTTACATGTAAGTTGTGTAAAGCCAGCATTATTCTCAATATCCCAATATGGTATTTCCAAATTTAGTTGCATGGGGAAACAGGAGGGAGATGGGATCAAGGTTGGGGTCAGAGGAAGCCTTCCTATAGCCCTGGTGTGAGTGCATAGAAAAACTTTAAAATATTGCTTTTTGTACTCTTCTAAACTTACATTGTTAGCTACATCTTAACTAACAGTTAAGCAAGATACTAGGTGATTTCTGCTTTTCTGGAAGGTGCATAATATTTTGTTGTCTTTATAAAACTGGGTTTCAGAATTTTTAATGTAATGGTAGGATTCACTTCCCCCCCCAAGGAATTTGGAAATCGAAAGACAAACCGTCTGTATATTGTAAGAATAAATATATTCGTAATACCTGAAGTGATCTAAATATTTATCACAAAGGGTTTCATGTGAATTTGTTTGATCCAATTTACAGCTTGGATAAAGACTTAAAACGATTAAGTAGTTATTGATACTTTGGCAAGTAGACTTCCATGACACCTGAGATAATAGCATTTTTAGACTATCTAAAGGCATACATCAATTGTTAAGTATATGGAACTCTTAGCATTTGAACATTTCATGAATATAAGGATTCTGAATGTGAAAAAAATAAAGCCTATTGTGTTGTCTGCTTCTTTCAGACTATTTTGGCCAAAATCAAAGTGTTATGATTACTTATATCAAGAAGCAGAAGCTCTTCTGAAAAATTTTCCAATTCAAGCCACAATTTCATTTTATGAAGATTCTGATAGTGAAGATGATATTGAGGAGCTGATCTGTGAAAATTAACCTGATTAGTTACTTGCGATGACATTCAAAGCTTATAGGATTTAAACTTAGTGTACAAATGTATCATAATCCTTCATACTAATTTATTTGTATATAAATTATTAATAAAATATTTTGTAATTCTATAGTAGTTTGGCTTTTTTTACCCCTACGCTATAATTCAGTGTTGGAATTTAAAAATAAGTGCCATTTATGGATGTCTTGATTGGACTGTAAACATTTAGGGCTTACAAAAGATACTTTTGATCTCTTCATCAAATTACAAATTTAATTTTAGTTATAATTTTGCAAATAGTTAGCTAAAATTTTGCAAAGAATGACAATATTTAATTTTCAAGACTGAATCTTGTAACATCTGGTATTTCCTACTGATCTCCATTAGGTATTGTGTTGCTGATGAATATTTTTAGATAATGAAAAAAATCATCTTATGCTACCAATCACACAATATTATATGTTTGCTAGCAGATGGTGAAAAACACTTTAAATCATTGTCCATAATTGAGAATGGGAATTAATGCCATGGCTATCAAATTTTATGGATTTTTAATGAATGATGAATCAAGTGATATCACTTTAATACTCCTCTGCTGCCCTTAAATCTAGTAGTAAAATAGCATTTGTGTTCAATAATTAGAGCACTTCATTGAGGGATCCCCAGAATTTAAAAAAAAATGTTTAAGTGAGCACAACTTATATGGAGTCTAAAAAAGGAGAGCCAAAAGGCTAGAATTTGATCTTTTTCCATTTCTGTCTAAGGGGGAGCTGAGACATTTGGCAGATATGAAACATTCTTCAACAGCATCACCTTCCTTTGTTCTGGCTCCTTGCTCCTGATATTGTCATGTACAGATTTTCTCATGGGAAGTGAAATAAGAAATTCTCAGTGATTAGTTTTTTAAAATGTAGACTTACAGAAGAATACATCACCATTTAATGACAGAGAAAAACGGGAGCACATTGCAAGGTAGAGGTAACCTAGACTATGGTCATGAGGTTCTTCAGTTCAAATGCAGTCTCCCAATAAGCATTTTCATTGCAAATGTTTCTTAGTATCCCAGAATGATGATGGGTAGAGGTGAAGGTCAGAGATGGTTACCTGGCTAAGAAATGCCTCTTACTTGAATGGCTACATAGATCACACACTTTTCCTTCTATTTGAAAGGATACTACAAACATTGATTTACAGGCACTTTAAGGACAAGGCAGTTGAAACAGAGCAAGTTTAAATCATGTGTCAGAGTCAGGAAAAATTTGTAATGGCAGGTGGACAGGGAGAGTTGCTTAGAACTGTATTTCTTCTGAAAACTTTCCCTTCACTGGATTCTACACTCAGGAAGTGTGTGTTCCCCAAGGGCTATGCAAAAAACCCACCAGGTCGCCAATCTGGACCTTGATCATTAGGGACTTGTTTTTAGCTGCACAGTATTTGAGCTTCTTTCAATATGTCGGAATAGTATGACGAGCCACTGCCATTTTTTGGGGTGCCTACTATTAACCAGGCATTGTACTAGGTAGTTTACTTATGACATCTCATTTAATTGTTACTGAAACCTAAATCCATTAGGCAGAGGGGGAAAATGAGACTTTGAGATACTGAAATAACTTGCGTAAGTCTGCTCATTTATTAAGTGCAGAGATGGCATTCAAACTAAACCTATCTGACAAACATAACTCTTCGTCACTACATCTGGGGATGGGCTGTATCTGTACAGAATTCCCTGTAGCTTTCAGCGAAGACAAGAAGTTAGATGAGGAGGAAGAACTTGTGAGTGGGTGAATGGAGCAGGAGACTTTACTAGCTTCTTTGACTCATTCGTTTGTCATTAGCGGGGGTTCTTAAAGGTGAAGCTTCACCTCATAAGAGTGGCTGTGGCTGTTTGCATTTGACGCCTTAACTCTTAAAAGTTCTCTTTCTTGTACAGCCGGGTGCTTTAGAGGAGAGAGTGTCAGAGAAATCAAAATGCTTTGATAGTGTTATTTTATTCCATATTTCAAGCAGTGTGAAGGTGGGGCATAACAGACACTTGTGTTCTGGGTTAAGAGGAGTCTAAAAGAATTTATGCTCAGATTCTGTCAGCACCAAGGCTAAGGAACAGCTTCGCTCTGTCTTTAATCCTTCCACGGAATAGCTGTCACCTCACTGCGGTGCTGAAATTCAGGGTGCAGGGCTAACGCACCACGCGTAACAGAATCCTGTCTAGTTCCTCCCCTGCCGGCGCTGCGTTTGTCCCGTTGGCTCCGCCCCCTCGGCCTCGACGTGCTGCGTCATGGCGCGCCTCACCCCCGGCGACCCCGGAAGTGGGTCGGGGGCTTGGCCTCTGCCCGGCCTCGGAGCCGGAGCGGGAGGTGTTACTCTGGCGGGGTAGAGCTGAGCGCTTCTGTCCGGCGGCGGACCCCGGGCAGGGCCCGGGCCAGGGGTCCAGGATGCTGAACGTCCCTTCCCAGTCTTTCCCGGCCCCCAGCTCGCAGCAGCGCGTCGCCTCCGGGGGGCGTAGCAAGGTAAGTGGATGACATCGTGCGTCTTGTTCAGCTCGCCTCCCGCTGGCGTTCCGTACTACCGAACGGTCCATTCTCTCTTTCGGCCTCCTCTTCCACCTCGTGTCCTCATCTCTAGCCTTCGTTCTTCCTGCACTAGCTGGCGATCTCTTTCCCCGGCCGTTTGCAGTCCTCTCTCTCACCTACTAGCCCCCCCCCCCCCCCCCCCCCCCCCCCCCCCCCCCGCCAATCCTCTTTTCCCGTTCTGGCAAGTCTTTTCCCGCGAATTAAATTGAGTTGTATATGACGGCCAGCACCGTGCTTTTGCCGTTATCATAGGTACTCAGTATTAGCTTCCTTACTTCAGTCTGTCCTCGTCTCCGGTCTTTTGTTCTGCACTTTCCGGAAGGAGTTGTGAGTGAGGTGGGTTCCCTAGGAGAAGGGAAAGGTTGGGCAGTAGCGACATTGACCGGTGACCATCCTCCAAAGGTGGGGACTCCCAGAGCTAGGGAAGATGGGGGGAGCGAGAACAAATGTCTACAGTCCTCCGGTGGGTTTACGGACACTTCTCTAAGTCATACGGCCTTTCTTCCTCTGGTACCTGTTTTATCGCACTGTCTTTTCTATTGACATCACTTGCTGACTTTGAAGCTAATATAATACTCTTTTTGTTGACCATAGTTACTGTTAGCAACAAGTGGAATACAGGTGTATTTTATATTTATAAAATTTAATAAAATTGTCTCCCGTGCAGTTATTCGTTAGTTCCTCATTCTGTAAGTTCATCTTCATGTTTTGTTCATGTTTTGTTTTTGAAACTTCCACCTACTTGGACCACTCCGCCCAACCCCCCATTTCTGGACTCTTGGGTCTTAGCATGATTTAAGATCTTCACTGACTTTTTTTTTTTTTTCTCTCTCCACTTACACTTGAAGTTGACTCGAGATCAGAATTATGGGTTCAGGGATCTGTAGCTTTCATTAGCTTTTTCAGAAGTCTGTAACTCCAACTATAATAATAATAAAGCTGAGATTTATTTGGTGCTTACGGTATATATGTATGTTAGTGTTCTGAGTGCTTCATGTGTAGTGTATTAACTCATTTAATTTTTACAATAATCCCACGAAGTGGTTGCTTTTGTTATCTCTATATCACAGAAAAGAAAACTGGTTAAGAAATGTTGCTTTGGACCCTAAAAGTTTGATGTGATGTGACTCTGGCTGTGATATTTCATTTATTGCTCCATAGCTCCATATATCATCCAGTCATCTAATCATCTGTCCCCTCCTTCTTGATGTTTGACCGTTTCTCTCCTTGAACTAAATGCTTGGCTAAATAGTATAGTCTTTCTGGAGAAAGACTCTCTGAATTAAAATATAAGAGTTGCTGGCCTTCTGTACTAAAACTACAAACCACGTTCTCAGCATCCTTTTAAAGGAGAAAACTCAGAGGCAAAGACAAAAGGTCCACAGGTGGTGATGGCAAAGGTGAGTCTTCGGGTCCAAACAGAGAACAAAATATGGTTATTGCACAATTCAGAGGGAAACTGAGACTTTTTTCCCCCCTTTATAAAATGAGGTAATCTTGCACGTATCAGAACCTGACTCAGGATTGTATGAAATGGGTAGAGGTTGAAAAAATAGAAGCTAGTTGGGGAGGTTATATATCATAATAGTTAAAAGCATAGACTTTTGAGTGAGAAAGACCCGGATTCTTTTCCCAACTCCCATGACTAAGCCTCTGAGTCTCAGTTTTCTCAGGTGTAAAAGAGAATAATAGTACCCATTTTATACGGCCGTTCACAGGATTAAATGAGATAATGTTTGTCTTAGCACAGTCTTGGTATGTGGTAAGCACTCATGTGTTACTTGCCCTTAGAGTTTTATTTGGATTCCATGGATTGTTGTGTGATTGTTGTGTAAAGTCCTGAGCACAGTGTCTGGTGCTGAGTATGCATTCTATATATGATAGCTACTATTATTTCTACTAATACTAGTAAATAAATATTTTTTGAGAACCTACCATATACTGAAGATGTGGTCTCTGTTTCCACGGAGTTTAGTCTAATGGGCTGCACACACTAATAAATAGTTATAAATGTGATAAGTGCTATAACTGTGTGTTATGACCACAGAGGGGTTGGGGTCAGAGAAGGCTTCTGGAGGAGATAGTGTCTGTGAGAGAGAGAGGGAGGGAATTGGGCCAGGCCAAGGAACAGGTATTTCATAGCAATCAAGGAATTGGTTCCCATTTAGCTAAAGCATTTAATAGGAAGGAGCAAAAATTAAAACTCAGAGCTAGTGAGGTAAACTATGACCAGATATAAAAGGCCTGGTAAACCACTCTAGGGAATTTAGAGACATTATTATAAGGTAGTGTGGTGGGTGCCCAGGTGGCTCAGTCGGTTAAGCAGCTGCCTTTGGCTCAGATAATGATCCCGGAGTCCCGGGATCGAGTCCCACATTGGGCTCCCTGCTCAGCAGGGAGTCTGCTTCTCCCTCTCCCTCTCCCCCTGCTTGTGC